TACTCACCATCAGAAGCCCTTTTGTGCACACTATATGCAGCTGAGCTTCTCTGACCATTTGAGAGAAGTGGTTTGGTGGGGGAGACGGACAGAGAAGAAGGCGACAGAGCTGAAGCAGATTCCCTCACCATCATCTCAGTGAAATCTGTGGCAATTTTCCCTGAGTAAGTTAACATTAGCAGTATGGACCCACCAAAGAAAACACAACTCACGGGCAACTTGTGGAACCTGATGCCAGGTATATTGTGAAGGCCAAAACTGTAAGGGTATGTCTACACTACAGCGTTATTTCAAAATATCTTATTTCAAAATAGTTAATTCAAAATAAGTTATTTTGAAATAACGCGTCTACACACAAAATGCATTTCAAAATAGCATTTTCCTATTTCAAAATAGTGCGTCCACACTGATTGGATGCTGAATCACATTTAAGGCCAGCTGAAATCAGTTTCAGCAGGGCATCAGGTCAGTAGTTGCTTTGTGTGGCTGCTGCCTAAGGTTATCTGAGGCTTGTGCTTAAAGGGACCCCTCTGGACAGCCAGTTCTCAGCTTTCTCCGCTTACTTGCCAACCTCGCTGAGGGACAGCAAAGCATTTTTTTATTTGCTTGCTTTGGTTGTCCTGACTTGGGACACCACAGCACTTGGTACCATAGAGCCAGAGCTGCCTCTGGGCACTCTGGTGCTCATTTTGGATATCTTGCTGCAAGCCTGGCTGCAATTGCTGGAGACTGCCTGACAGCATCTGCTGCAGCCCAACTCCCAGGCCCTCTTCCGGACCCCCTCTGGGGGCCATGGAGGAGCAACAGCAGTGCTGTGTGCCAAAGGCTGCATGCCGAGACTTTCTTCCCTGACCGCCACATCAGGGTCGGGGACATGGACGTGCCTGGTGGGTGGGGGATGCAGCCTATCCCCTACAACCCTGGCTGATGAAACCCTACATGGGACACCTCAACCCCCCTGCCCCCGACAGGCCTTTAATGCCAAGCTCAGCAGGGCCCTCATTGTCGTGGAGGGGGCGTTTGGCTGGTTGAAGGCCCGTTTTAGATGCCTCCTTACCCGCCTTAACCTATCCAAGCGGAATATTCCGCACGTGGTGGCAGAGTGTGTGCTGCATAATTTGTGCGAGAGGAAGGGGGAGGTTTTCCTGCCAGCCTGGATGGCAGAGGCCGACCACTTGGCTGGCCTTTACGTTCAGCCCTGTATGGCTGCCAGCCGGGTGTGGGAGAATGTCCTGGGCAGGGTGGTGCGCCCTGCAATCACAGCGGGTGTGGCTGTGGAGAAACAAGAGAAGTGGTCAGTTATCCCTGGGGACACAGTGGGTGAAGCCCAGCCCCGCTCTGCAATGCAAGGACAGCAGGTCTCCGCACCATCAAGTCCTGCTATCCCCAGGAGTGTGAGCTGGCCCGGGACTGCTCCCATGCTTCTGTGCTGTATATAGTGTGAGTGTGGGGTGGGAAGGAGGGGAGATGTGCCCTGCCTCTGCGTAGAAGGGGCTTCTGCAGGGAGGGCATTGTGCAGTGTCCCTCCCCAGGGTCAGGAGCATGTCATGTGCCTTCATACATACATGCGTGTGGGTAACAGGCCAGGGTCCCTGTGTGGCAGGTTGCTGCATGATCCATGGTCAGTGAGACCCACATGTGTGGTCCCTTGGTTCCCTTCCTCTCCCCCCCCCCCCCCCCCCCCCGC